TTGTCTCAATGTATACACTCAAAATTTTGTCCTTTTATAATGTTTACCCAAAGATTATTATATATATCAATAGTTAAAGATTAAAATCATGCATTGTCAAACTGATGCATCTAAAAGAATGGAAATAGGATTGTGTAAGGCTTGACTGCTTGAGTTCACAGTTTTGGTGGTGGTAGGACTTCATCTTTGACTTGTTTCTGGATTTGACTATACAGTTTCTTGAGTATTAATGAATATGGTATTATATTATGATTATTTTTATTTTCTTAAGTACTTAGTATCATTTTGTAATCATGTTATATAAACTTTTACATTAAACTGAGGCATGCACAGTGATACGTACAACTGTATGCATGATGAGGTTGGCTCCTCTCTTCATCCCACCAATCCGCCTTATCTATGCAATACACACGGTTTATAAGGCATTGATATTTGGTTTACATTTAATGCTTAGAATGTGTAGTTATGTACTCGCATACATAGATTCTAGAATTCTGACACTGTTTTGTGTTTCTTTGTCTGCCTTGTTCTATAAAAAAGGTGTGGTTCTATACTTCTAGGAGAACAACGAAAGGAGTATTGAAGCCATACAGTTGTATGCCAGCAATGTAGGAGAAAAAGAAAATGTATTGTTTACTATCTTGTCAAAAAAGAAACAGTCAATTGTTTATGGGAAGTTTGTGAAAAAAAATTCAACCATAGCAGCTCTTTTCTACTCTGTGGAGTCCCTTCTATGGGATTCAACACTCTTATTGTTTAGATTTTTTATTGTGTTTGGCTTCAATGAATAATAGCTTTTTATGTTTGTAACATTGAAGTTGCTGTGTTCTCATCAATCCTCTCGGATTTGCACATCGACAAGCAGGTTTTATGGGCTTGCTTTGACAAACTAGAATTAGCTCCCTCATCATTCAAAAACATCCTGCTGATTGGTTATTCCAATGGGTTTCAAGTCTTGGATGTTGAAGATGCTTCTAATGTATGCGAACTGGTCTCTCAGCGCGATGAAGCAGTAACATTTCTACAGATGCAACCCATCCCTGCAAAGTCTGATGGCCATGAGGGATATAGAAACTCACATCCCTTGCTCTTGGTGGTGGCTTGTGGTGAAGCAGCTCAGTCCATTCCTGCACAAAGTGGGAGGGATGGCATTATTAAGCCTCAAGCAGGAAACAATACAAACTTGCCTACTACATGTCTACATCTACCCTTAGATTTTATTCTCTAAGGTCCCACAATTATGTTCACATTTTGCGATTCGGGTCTACTGTTTTTATGGTTAGAGCTAGTCCGCATATAGTTGCTGTTGGCCTCGCGACGCAGGTGAATATCTTTAATTTTTCACTCGAATGATCAAATATTTGGTTCATACAAATGGTACAATGAATTTCTTCAAGCACAAGAACACCCATTAGTCTTCTAAACTACAACTATTCATTAGACTGGTTGCTACCTTAACCCTAAATGTGTTCATGTACTCTTGCAGTGATCAAGTTTTTGTTATACTGAACATTCTAATATTTTTGCTGGTAGATATATTGCTTTGATGCCATCACCCTGGAGAATAAATTTAGTGTGCTCACCTATCCTGTGCCTCAGTCTGGCGGTCAGGGTTTTACTGGAGTCAATATTGGCTATGGTCCAATGGCTGTAGGTCCAAGGTGGTTAGCTTATTCATCAAACAACCCAATGATAGCAAACACATGACGATTAAGTCCACAAAGTCTTAGTCCTTCTCCAGGTGTTAGCCCATCTACATCTCCAGGTAATGGAAACCTGGTAGCTAGATATGCCTTGGAGTCTAGTAAACAACTTGCTTCTGGATTAATCAATCTTGGAGACATAGGCTATAAGACTTTTTCAAAGTATTGTCATGAGCTTCTTCCTGATGGCTCCAGTTTACCTGCATCATCAAGCACTGTCTAGAATGTCGGAAGGGGTGCACTTCACTCAAATGAAACCGATGCAACTGGGATGGTTAGTCTCACTAGTCACTAATAATTTTGTATTAAAAAAACTTTAATTTTAGGTTAGTTAGATAGGAATAGATCTGTTTCTACTTAACCACTTCACTATTACTCTACATGGTGGGATTTTACCGGGGTGGTAGTTTTAGTTGTATCAAAATAGTCTACTGCCAATATTGCTGGCATTTGTTTTCTTCACTGATCACCCTTTTTCATATTCAAGTAAAGCAAGCCACACATTTTCAACACGTTTTGAAAATAACAAAATGGTTAAGCAGGTTCTGCCTTTTGTGAGCTGATCTGTAACTGCGTTAACTTGCACAATGCAGAGGAACTTGCTTGGGGAGGGATGCACCTTAAAAAACGATCTTTGCCGTTACAGATTAAATTTGATTTTCCCATAATGTAGTCCTTCACAAGATTAACTGTTGAAGCCTGAATTATGACTTATGAAGAGTGGTTGTTTCTTTGTTGTAGTAGCCAAGCATTGTGATTGACAACATGTCCCCTTGATTTAACTAGCCCACATACATTAATTGATTGTGGCACCCAGATTCTCCTTTTTAAATTGGCCCTGAAAATGAAAAGGTCCTAATTAATTCCTCATCTGAAGAAGTACTAACATCACATTAATATGTAATAAATTTTATTGAAGTGTTACATTTCTAAAATAGTAAAATGTAGAGTTCAGTGTTTACCCCTGATAAAAAAGAACTATTAATCTGATGTGTTTATTGCAGGTTGTCATCAAAGATTTCATATCCAGACCTATAATTTCACAATTTAGGGCGCATACTAGCCCTATATCTGCTCTATGTTTTGACCCTAGTGGCACTCTCTTGGTTACTGCTTCCATACACGGTAACAATATAAATATATACCGTATATTGCCCAATTGTTCTCAGAATGGATCAGGTGCACTTAACAATGATTGGAGTTCTTCTCATGTCCACCTCTACTAGCTCCATCGAGGCGTGACTCCAGCTGTGTGTATTTTGTGCCTCTTAATGTTGTAACTCGTTTTTGTTGTTGACTTATATTCTAGGCATTTTTCATCCTCTAATGAAATCTTGTTTTCTAACAGGTGATACAGGACATTTGTTTTAGTAACTTTAGTCAATGGGTAGGTATTACTTCAACTAAGGGGACATGCCATATTTTTGTACTATCCCCTTTTGGTGGTGAGACAGGGCTTCAGCTACAGAGTACTCATGTTAATGGAACAACATTAACACCTATACTTTCTATGCCATGGTGGTCTGCTTCTTCTTTTTCAACAAATGCACACTCTTCTTGCCCCCCACCAACACCTATCACACTGTCTGTCGTTAGCAGGATAAAAAATGTCTCTGGTTGGCTTAATTCAGTAAGCAGTGTGGCATCTTCTGCAGCAGGAAGGGTTTTTGTACCTTCTGGTGTTGTTGCGGCTGTCTTTCATAGTTGCGTACACCGAGATGTGCAGCATGCTCCCCAAAATCTGAACACTTTAGAACATTTGTTGGCCTTCACTCCCAATGGACATCTAATTCAATATGAATTGGTTTCTTCTCTTGGTCGAGAGCAGGGTCGGTCTTCTTTGAGAAGTGGTACTGCCCACTTAATGCAGATGCAAGAGGATGATCTGGGAGTTAAAGTTGAGCCTGTACAATGGTGGGATGTTTGTCGAAGGGCAGACTGGCCTAAAAGAGAGGAGTGCATTCAGGAAATCTCCCTCGGGAACCGTGGGTGCATGGAAACTGTCATAGATAATCCTGCCAGCGAAGATGATGACATTGGAGGTAAGGATATAACAAAGCCACATGGTCAGTCTCACTGGTATCTTTCAAATGCCGAAGTTCGGTCAAGGTCTTGGAGGATACCAATTTGGCAGAAGTCTAAGGTAGAGAACTGCAACTACCACTTATAGCCTTCATTGTACAGACCTTTAAGATTTACTATAAAGAGGTATATACCAATGATCATTTCATTTGCTTTAGATATGCTTCTATACATTGAGTTTCCAAGGGAATGCAGAGCATTATATCGATCAGCTTTCTTCCAGCGGGGAGATTGAAATAGAGAATATTTCTGTTAATGAAGTCGAAATCAAGCGCAAGGATTTGCTACCTGTATTTGACCATTTTCAGAGGGTTCGCACAAATTGGAATGATGAAAGGTAATCTGGACCTGCAAGTTCACTTCCCAATGAATGCCTATACAACATTTTTGTTCACATCTTTGGTTCGACGAAAGAATTATGAACTTGAGTTTTGTTTTTTATACTATCATGTCTGTTATAGTATATCCTATTTGGGTAGACCTTTTGCAATACCTATTCCTTTCACAATGTTCTATTATTAGATCTGGCTAAAGGAGAGCTAAGTTCCTTACACCCTGCACTGGGTCCACGTATTGTTGGTACCGTTTTCTTGATTTATATTGAAAAGTAAGCGCTTGGGCCACATACGTTTCACAAAACGTTGGGTTTTCTTTCTATCTACCACCTCATCGTGTGGATATAAACTCAAGATCATTAATATTACTGAAGAAGCCAATTTTACTCTAAGTCAGAGAAAATTTATGCTTCCCTGTTCTCTAATTGAGAAATGAATCATTGGATTCGGTTTTCTTTATAGGCTCCGGCCAAATTTTTAACAGGAAATTAGTCTCACAATGACATTGTGCTTTATCTTGGGCTGTAGTAATTTCACTTTTAAGAGGTAATGAAGTTCGATATTTGAAGGAAAACATGATTTCGCGTGCTTATTTTTCATGGATGCAGTTGTGAGTTTGAGTAGTTAACAGGACAAACTTTTTTTAATCTATGTAAGGCCATATGATTTCTTAACTTCTGTCTCTGTTATGTGTTGGCATTCTCTTATTGATCTCTATGTTTTTTAAATGATATTTTTCATATAAATAATCTTTCTCCAAACTGTTATGCTGAACATATTTATATTGTGTAGGGTTTCTTTTGATGGCAGATTCTCTGGTTCATCGTATGCTTCTTCCACAGCTAAAGAGAAACCAGAAGTTAGTTCTGCTATTGCAATGGCGGCTCCACAGTGTTTGCTGAAAAAGGCACATGCTGGTAAGTCAGTATAATTTATTACTTTTTGCTTGGCTTAAGGTTTGGTGAAAAAGTCACATGCCAGTAACTCAATTTGTATAAGAAAAGCTTAATACGTTTTTCCTTTTCTTTCAATTGTAGATAAAATGAGTGCGATGCCAGTGGCATATCCACATGTCGACCTAATGGATGAGAATGATGGAGCAAGTGAATCAAGGTCATTGGCCCCATTCACGCTGAACCAAACATCCTCTAGTCCTGAGCTATCCACAAATATCATATCTTCCTTGGAGGAAGTTTACATTGTAAATAGTCCATCTCCCCCCAACAGTGGGTCCCTCTTTGCAGGAGGAACTACTGCTAGGGATGTTCCATCTTCAAACAGTGCTTTTACTAGTGAAGCTTCAAACACAAGCTCTAACCATTCTAATAGGAGTGAATATTAGCAACGATGAGGGGCCAAATCATGAAGATATGAGTGATGACGTGCACTTGTCGTGAGGTGCACTCAAAGTAATAATACAATACGACACTAATACGTAGTATAGCGTAGTAAGGTTCGTATCCACAGGGAAAGGAATAACTTTCTTTTTATATAAATAGTAAGTAAAGGGGGGTTTTGATTGTTGATGTGATTTAATTAAATTAAACACGAAGATGAACGAGTTATATGGGATTTAATTCAAAGATTAAAGTGACTTGGCATTGCTACTTTCCACTTGTTGATATATTTTAGTCGATCATTGTTATATCTATAACTTATCTCCTCTCGAATACTCAATCGAGGAGTATATCCAATTCATCGAGGATAGTTATTAACAACGACCGTTCATTAATAACTCTTACTATTAGTCAAGTATAGAACAACGCCACATACCGACTTGATAGTAGCATTTAATCTTTTAACTCCTTGATGAAATCAATTGAGATTGATAACCTTAACACAACGGTTTCGGTTTAACCAACAAAATTAATCCCTCTTAAGTTTATTAACCACGACCGTGCATTAATAAACCGAAGTTACTTACTTGTGAAACTATCAATGATTAACCATCGGAAACAAAGAAAACACTCAGAAGAGTTCGTACAATAGTATGTCAAGAATAAGGGTTTTGCACTCAAAGTAGAAGTCTTAAGGCTGGTTTGCAACCACTTTAAAAAAAGCACTTCTCAGCTTTTGGCTTAAAAAAGCACTTATTTACCAAACACTACCAATTTTTTATTTTTCTCGGCTTTCGTGTCAAAAGTGCTTTTTCACTTTTTATACACCAAAATCACTTATTTTACCAAACACTACCAACTTTTACTTTTCAAAATCACTTTTTTCTCAAACACTATCAACTTTTACAAATAATCACTTTTTCCAAATCACTCCAAAAGTGATTTTTTTTAAAGCAGAAGCTGTTGCAAACACTCCCTTAGTTGCTTAGAAAATTGTCTAATTTATAAGAGAAGCAGGGATAACATAACATTAAGAAGAAGAAGTTGAGGTTAGCCTCAATGTACTGGAAGAAAAAAGTTATCGTTCATCACCTCGCCACGGCAAAAGATAGATTGGCTGAAGTTCTGCTCGACAGCATGTATGCCCTCCGTTCGGCCAAAGAGAAAGTTTGTTTTTTTAGGAGGCCGAAGAAGAAAGTTAGATCATCTAAAAAATCATAATTCCTAATGCAGAGTATTATACGTGTGAAAAATAATAATAATTCCTAATACAGAGTATTATACGTGTGATATGATAATACACCATAACCATGCCAAGGTAAGTAAAAAATGTACTCACTCCGTCCCATTTTAGTTAGCCAATCTTCACTTTTCCGGTCAAAGGTGGTAAACTTTGAGCAATTATTTTAATTAATATATTTATGCAAAAAATAATAATTTTATACTTTTATGATTGTCTTTTCAACAAAGAACATTTTCATATAATTTTCATATTATTAATATTTTATCTATATAAATATATAAGCGGTCAAAGTTAGGTACCATTGACTTGGAAAATCATGTTTGGCTAAGTAAATTGGGACGGAGGGAGTAATAGTTAGTAAGATTCTAATGGTGAACATGGAAATCAAGCCATTAACAAAGGGAATACATATTACATTGAGTAAAATGATTGGGTAAAATGATTAGCTTTACTAAACAACCTTGACACTTCGCTACATGTAAATTTTATTGAGTTATAGTTCGCTCCAGACAAAAAATGTTTGGGCAAAATGATTAGTTTTACTAAATTTCCTTGACTCTTTGCTACATGTAAATTTCCTAGATTCTTCACTAAATTTCATTGAAACTCGCATACTTGAGACGTCATTTCCTGAGAAAGAAGGTTAAGAGCTTTTGTGACACTTCAAAAATTTAAAAAAAAAACAATTAAAATGTTACGAATGTAAAATGTTAGAAAATTAACATTTTTATAATTAAGTTGACCCAAATTAGATTTTGGCTTGAATGATAAAAGTGACACTATTATACGGGTGATAATTATACATTTGACAAAAATAAAGAGATGGAGATTTTAACTATTTCAAATTCATAGATAATCGATAATACACTAAATATTATATTATACAAATTTAAAAAAAAAAGGTTAAAAAGTTAGACTTTTCTAATCTAGTCCAATACACTCCTAGTACGTGAACTCTATAAGTCCATATATATTACTATACACACATGTTTATTAATTCTAATACTAGTAACAATTAATAGCAAACTTAAGTAACGCGTTGCTACAATAATATTAATAAACCTACTAAACTAAATGTACGTAGTATACGTTTACCACTGTAAGTCTGTAACTAAGAAGTATTATTCAACTCGGACTCCGCTAATAACCTTGGAGATAAACACTCAACTTCCGAAACTTGAGCTTGTAGGCCAATCGGATAAGTTTTAAACGACCTAGAACCTTCACTCTGCAGCTATAAATAGGAGCCTTGCGATCAACCTTCGCTGCACAAAAAAAAAACCACGAACTGCAACCTGCGTTGCAGGGAGAAAACGAGAGAAAAAAAGTGAGAAAAAGAGAGAAGAAAGAAATATAAAAACGTGAGAGAGAGGGTGAACGTTTAGAAGAAGAAGAAAGGCCGATCATCTGGGAGTGCCAGGCCTTCGCGGGAGAAGGGAGAACGCAGGTCTCAACCGAACGTTGCTGGAGAAGGAAACTGCCGGAGTGCTGCGCCGCGCCACCACCTTGCTGCCGCCGTCTTAAGGAAGAGACTCTGACCGCCGTACCACCTTCCACCGACCACCGTTAAGGTAAGGCCGTACGTTCGTTCATGCGTAACCTCGTTTTTCCGGTGTTTCCATACGAAGAAGATGACAAAAAAAAAATGACACTAAACTGGTTTGGACGACTATCTAACCTATTATATGGACTTCGAAAATAAATAAAATAAGTACAACAATAATATAAAAAGGTGAACATGATCGATAATAACAAAAATATAACAGTGACAATGGATCGGTTATATACTTCTATATACATAATTGGATGATTAATGACAAGCAATTAACTGATTAGAATAAAGTAGAATTTGGACTATTTAAACTGCATCATTGGTTGAATTACTATAAAATGGACATTTGGATTATATTAAAGTACACTGCGAATATGAAAATAAAACAGATTATCATAATGTACTACATTTAGAGACTATGATAACGAACTGATTTGTTTTTATAACTGAACCTTTTATTTTGGGTCAACTTTATTAAAAAGAAACTTAGACTGAATTAATAAAAATGAATTGAGTAGGGCCGATTGTTATATCTGCTAAAAACTGAAGTTAATTGTTAAAAACTGAAGTTAATGATGGTGAGGATGTAATACTCTAATGATAAGCAATGGACCGATTAAATTAAAATGGAACTGTTATGATTGGACCGATTGAATTGTTATGACTGACTATTTGAAATAATGAAATACTTGTATGGGAGTAAACAAGCAGAGGAACATAATTTTCTTGACTCGTTATCTATGAACAGAACCAATGGTATACATTAAGTTAATGATTCGATAACGGATTAAATTAGAATTAATAGACTACACCGCTTAATCTCATATGGATAAATAATCAGGAATCGGGTAAAAATAGTAAAACAGAATAGCCTGGACTTGATTATATTAACGATCCAATAAAACAAATAAAACTATGAAAAACGTAGAATAATTTACTTTTTGTGAAATTTTAAATAATAGAAGGACAGTTGGGAGAAGAAGCTGATAGGGAAGCTTGTTAGAAATATCGGGAATTTGAGGTAAGTCACATTGCAACCAAAATTATGTTTTTACCTCGTAAATAACTATTTACTTGATTTATGTGATGGTATGAATATTTTGATTGATGAATTACTTGTGAGCAAGTTGTATTTGTTGTGTTTTTGAGATACATTGGATTATGTGTATACGTAAGATATTTTGGGGAAAATATAAAGTTATGAATTTTAATCTTTGTGGTAAAATTTTGTCCAAGAGACATAAATGTGAAATTTTTGGAAAGTCAAGATAAAAGACTGTTTTCATAATTGGGGCACCACGGGAGAAATCCGTAGGTGTCGGGCCACCTTCACGTCCGTTAATGGTGAGAGAGGGTTAGGACTACTACTACTTGAATTGAGAGGTGTAAAGCAAATTAAATAAATTTTGGAGGGTTCGGTAACCACCCCGAACAACTGGGCATTAGATCCCATTTATTAAAGCAGCAGTAGTAGTAGTACCTATTCTCTTAAGGGTCTTTGAACCTAGAACTTAGGGAGTATATCCTATTTTGAGTAGGGAGACGTTGACGTCAGAACTATTTAGACTTCATACTACTCGGAGGGCTTGGAATCCCTTTAGGGGGTGTGCACACTTAAGGTAGAAGTCTAGATTCTAATAGAGGAGATGAGGTACCGAGAGTAGATCGGAGTGACCGTACAAAACAATGGATCACTGGGCTCAAGAATCGAGATAACGCTTGAGCACCGCCCTTCTAATTAAATGATTAGGAGAATTAGCTATAAAGCTATTTTGAGGAAAAATCAAATATTTTGGTACTTGGAGAATTATTCTTTGAAATACTTACGAGAACTATTGAAGAAAACCTTTTAGAGATATTATTACTTTTTTTGAAATTATTGGAAACTCATTTTTGTATATACTAAATACTTCTAAAGCTAATTTTTGTGTTATTTGTTCTTTTATTTTCTTATGTTACAGATGATGTGGTTTATGAAGACTGATGCACTGAGAGCGCTCCTAGAAGATTTTTAGAGTAGTCTCATTTAGAATGAACCTTGTTAGATTTCATGATTTCAAATGTTGAATTTAATAATTACTTTAGATACATTTACGGTGGATAGCCTTAGCATCCAGTCGGTTTAGGGCCGGGTGTGGCGGTAACACGCCCCTTTTCCTTGTTAGTGTTTAATTCCGCTGCAAACAATTGAAAGTTTTGAATAATTAATAAAAGTTTATTATTTATTAAGTATTATTTTGGGAGGGAAATTTGGGGGTGTTACAGCTTTTCCCACAGAAGTTTCCATATAAGAAGGCATTTAACATTAACCTACAAACATGTCTCCTACAAAATCAAGGCTCAAATTGATGGTAATGAGCTGACTCATGAAAATGGTTTCATAGAATATTATGACTGAGTTCCATTAAATAATCTCTTTTTCTACAGAAACCAACATTTCACTCATCATGTTGGCTGTTCAACAAACTCTTAAAAGAAAGCTATTGTGGCAGCCTGGAGCATAGATTTATTTGTGATGCAAGAGAATCTAATAAGTTTCTTTCGAACTATTAAAAGAAGCTATTGAAAACTTGATATGTTCAAAAAGGCACATTTCTTTCTAGCAGAGGATCTAGCAAATACCTAGAAGGGGATCTTCTCTTACATCTACCATCTGGTTGTCATACGGGTAGTAAACCTCAACATAAATGGGATTTGGAAACATGCCATTCAATAGAGCTAACAGCCCTAGCATAGAAGAACAGCCCAATCCACTTGTAAAACCAAGCCAATGATTCATACTTTCCAACTGTTATTCAAAAGTATACTGCAGTTCAGAAATATAAGATAAAAATTATACATGATAACTATCTATGAAGACAATCTAATTAATAGACATAAAGTATTTAACCTAAAGGTTTTATATTGTTCAGATTTGTTAAAAATGCCATAGACACATTGTTAACACAAGAGTGGCAGGATGGAGAACAGGAACTTGTGGTATCTCCTTTCCAAGTGGGATTTTTTGTAAAATCTGTGGTTCTGCAGCTCAAACAATTGTAAGTGAGCCAATAAGATGCAGTCCAATCCCAATCATAAAAATAGCCCCTGGACAAATAAAGCATTCAAATAAAGATGTAATTAAACCGGTATTCTTAACTCCAAATGCCAAACCATGCCATTGTGAAATCAATTTTTTGCTCAACTGGTCATACTTAATACCCTAGTGTTCCGCGTTTTGTTAACATAAAAAAGATTAAATTGCAATTTAAGTATAAAACTTAAGAACAAAATTGGAAGAGTATTGAAAATTTTGGGAAACCCTTACTTCCACCTACGGTGGGGTAAATGAAAATGATGATTGAAAACTTTGGAAAAAAAGTGAGCCTAAAAACAAATACATGTGCTTATTGTGCATTAGTTTGACTTAAGTTTATGCTGTTTCCTTAATCAAAGTGGGAAGAATTTTAAGGGACGGAGGAAGTGCATACTATTGTGATCTTTAAAAGACCCAACTATTGTTGTTATACACATACCTTTAAAAAAGGTCAATAAGATAATTAAGTTAATCTGACTTGAGTTTTAAGAAGATTGCCATATTTATTTAAGCTTAAAGAAAGAATCTTGAAATCACCTTTTTAGTTTGTGACTTATTTAAACACGCATATCTCTTTAAAAGAGGGTATCTTAGCTTTCTTTAAAAGAATTGAGCGATTATGAGTATATTCAAATAACCAAGCAAGCAGAGTATTCCACATCTACCAGAATTAAACTGGAGGAAATCTTTAAAATTCTCAGCTTAAGTGAGATTAAAATGTTATTCAGTAAAGCACCCAAATCTAAATATGTCACTGAATAAGCAAGCAAATAAGCAATGTATATGAATATATATAGAAAAAAATAAAAGGTAACTAAAATCAAATCTGAACTTATTTCTAGGTTGCAGATTGCACTCAAACCAAATTTGCCCAATGTTATCCAACAAAACTTAATAAAATAACCTATTTCCTACGTAATAGATATAGAAAAAAGAAACAAAATATAAGAAAAGTCAAATCTGATATAAACTAACATGTTATTGTTACATCAAACACCAGACTGATTAACATATGAATTGTCCTCTTTGTGCTTATTTAAGTATTTATGATAGTATACTCAACTTAATTAAATATACAAAAAACTATTACTATGGGAAATTAAATTTTAGAAATATTTTGAAATGGTTATCAGTAAATACAATCCAAGGGTTTATATGCAAACAATATAAGGCAATTCAAATATATAGTTTAGCAGACAAACAGAGCTAAATGCATTCTAACAACATAAAATCAATTTCAAACTTATGGCCCAACGATAACGATGTTGCTTTTGGAACCATTTAAGAGTAATTATAATAGTTCTAATAATAAATAAGAAAAGTAGAAAACACTCACATGTTTTTTGAGCCATTCTTGCTTTGTCATCTCTCTAACCGGCCGATGTACAACAGTAGTGCAAAAGATCTGTTAGGGGAGAGTGAAAAATATTTCAGCTATTAAACATGCTTATAAGCATCTACAACACCATGTAGCACTTGAGGAACATATTAGTATTTCAATGCCCACAATAACACCAATATAATATGATAGGTAATGCTCCAATTTACAAAGATTCTAAGAGTAGTGATGAAGAAAACAGACATGTAAAAATGGAACCGTCGTATACAAAATAGAGGAAAAAATACGAAGGCGGTTAAAGAGTGCTAACTCTCTTAGTCCCAAGCCCAAGATAAAACCAGCCTCCCTCTTATTCCCTCCTTCCCTTCTATTTATACTACTCTTATTATTATTACTCTCAGCCTAATCTGCCGGGATCCTATCATAACAGCACTTGAAAACATACTTCAAAAAATTCTAAATAAATAGAATGGGAATGGCTGCTGATAATAAATATTGAAAAGAACTTTGGACAGAATATTTACATTAGTAGTTTAGTACTTCAAAATGTGTTTGAGAAAGTTTAAAAAAATGAATGATAATGGCTGCTAAGAATGCAGAAACCTTTGGACAAAAATCTCATATTCACCCGCACTTGGATAAAGTTGAGAGTTGAGAGTGTAGGCATGAAAAAAGAAAAGCCTACTGGAATTATAATTTTGCACTCTTCCAGTGAGAGTGGCTTTAAATGATAGTGAGAGTGGCTTTAAATGATTTCAAACTTCTACTTACTACATAAGACAACAGTAGGTTAACAAAAAATAAAAAGGAATAAGAAAGGTGATCCCTCTATGGCTCTATTTATCGCTTTCAGTTTTAAATTTCAAAGGAAGAAATAGAACTTTCAAAACTTATCAAATTCCTAACACAGTGGAGGATAAATTGCATCAATGCTTATAACCCTTGTTGAGAATCACTCCATTAGACATTATACACTTTTTATTTTGATATTTCAAATAAGTGAAAATACTAATCCAAACATCTGATAAGCCATATAAACATTATTTATAAGCAGGTAGTTTCAAAGAAAGACTCCTTTCCATGATTGTAGTTGTACTACAAAATGAAATTCACAATGTGAATGTTTGCTAAGAAATTAGATAAAAATCTAAAGCTGCAAGGTAGAAGTTCACACATTTGATACAAAACATGAATAAAAAAATTAAATCTTGAATAATACGGAGTAGCTTTTTTGTGTGTCATCACTGTTCGCTTTCAATTGAGAATTTGATACTAGTCAACCAAGGGTATTTTTAAACCCATAAAGCAATTTTGGCAGATTTTTGAGACAAAAATAAGTACAGGGGTATATGGGTACTCCAACGCATATATGAGGGATATATTTGTGCTTTAACCCTTAAATAAAAACTCAATAGGATTTGGTAACCGAACCAATTCCAGTCTTCAGCGTAAGAACAAGAAGTCAAGAACGGTGAATGGCCTCATCATCGTCCGCCGCTTCAGTTCCCGTCATCTACGAAGACGAAGAACTAATGATGGATGGGTTCGAATCTGGTTGGGTGGAGCCCCGAACTCACTGCGATCACCTCGCTTCATTATCCTCTGACCTGGCTCACATCCCCATCCCCGTCACTCCCTGCAACGAGTCTGTCTTTCTAACCTCTCCTGATGGTTTCTCTAACCCTAGGCATTCAATCAATCAATGAATCCAATGGAATTTCGTTGCAGGTGCCAACATCCGAGGGAGAACTGGCTATGCTTGAGCTGCAAGCAAGTTTTCTGCAGCCGATTCGTGAACAAGCACATGGTCGAGCATTTTGACCCTGATTTGAGGGATGTGCCGAAATAAAAGTTGTTAGAGACATTTATGGTTCATATATTCTGCACAATGCTGCTTATACGGTAATACGGAGTATATTTTTAAGCTAAAAACTTGTCGAATTTGGTTTGAATTTGGTACTACTTTTAAACCGAAGTAAATCAAGATTAATTTAACTCATGAAAAACAGAATAAAATTGAATTGTACTAAAATATTCAATAGATTTTCAATATGTTTTTGAAATATAACAAATCCAAATTGAATGGAACGGAACAAACCCGAACAGAACCATATTTGGTAATACACCAATATTCCTGTTCGGAATTTCCGGACAGGAACCCCAGTCCGGCCTCCTCCATTTGGGCCCTTCCAGGTGGTATTTTTTGCTCAAATTTTTTGTGTATGTTCCTCATCAAGTCTAGTGCATCCATACCAAGTTTGAGCAAAAAAGTCAATGGGGAAGGTCGTCAAATGATTTTTGCAAGTTAACTGGTCCGGAATATGTATTTTCCGGGCCAGTTAACTTGCAAAAATTATTTGACCAGCTCATATTATATAAGCTCGGCATGGTATGAGCTCGGCCTAGTATGCCCTCGGCAAAGTATGAGCCCAGCACTGTATGAGCTCCGAGTAGTATCAGCTCGGCATGGTATGAGCTCGGCCTATTATGACCTCGGCCCGGCATGACCACTATGACCTCGACCTAGTATTATCTCGCCCTAGTATGAGCCCAACACAGTATGAGCTCAGAGTAGTATAAGCTCGGCATGGTATGAGCTCGGCCTAGTATGACCTCTGCAAAGTATAAGCCCAGCACAATATGAGCTCCGAGTAGTATCAGCTCGGCATGGTATGAGCTCGGCCTATTATGACCTTGGCCCGGCATGACCACTATGACCTCGACCTAGTAAAAGCTCAGAGTAGTATCAACTCGGCCTAGTATGACCTCGTTAAAGTATGAGCCCAGCACAGTATGAGCTCCGAGTAGTATCAGCTCGGCATGGTATGAGCTCGGCCTATTATGACCTCGACCCGGCATGACCACTATGACCTCGGCCTAGTATGATCTCGCCCTAGTATGAGCCCAACACAGTATGAGCTCAGAGTAGTACAAGCTCGACATGGTATGAGCTCGATCTAGTATGACCTCGGCAAAGTATAAGCCCAGCATAGTATGAGCATACATAAATCTGCTTAGGATACCGCTTTTAACATATGATGGCATACATAAATCTGCTTAGTATACTGCTTTTATTTGCATCAAATCAGCCTGTGTACTGCAAGTCATTGAAGATGTTTTCTTTTAGACTCAAATTTAATGGTTTTTAGACTCCAATTTAATGGTCTTGTCTGCCTAGGTCTGATCTTGTCTGAACTGTCCAAGTTAGCTTTGGTCTATTTAAATATGATTTGGTCTGTTTAAGTTAGATATGATTTGATCTTATATGAACTAAAAAACTAGGATATGAGGCCTCGAGGGCTACTTAGCCCATTAAAATACAAGATACGAGGCCTCGAGGGCTACTTAGCCCATTAAAATACAAGAACTTCATCAAGTCCATCAAGTTCAATGGAGTCTGCTCATTAATCATTAGAGTTAGGGGTGGGCATTTCGATTTACGATTCGGTTTTGTTTGGTTTCAATTCGGTTTCGGTTTATTCGGTTTGCCGGAAAATGTACCAAACAAAAACCAAATATGTTTCAATTTGGTTTCGGTTCGGTTTGAGAAAATTTCAGTTTGGTTCGGTTTGAAGTTCGGTTTACCAAATTAGAAACGGTTTGGTTTGGATTGAAACAAAACCAAACCAATTAAATCGAAACATAATACGGAGTACTATTTAACAAAAAAAATACAAAACAAATTGCATGAAAGCAAACGATTTGTCAAGAAGGGATTAAGGTCTCCGCTTAACAGAGGACAGAGGTTAGATGAAGGCTAGTTACCAGAAACTAGCATGCATAAGTGCATAACATCATGGCTTAAGTCTATGAACCCAGGGACATTTGATTGTGTGGGTTGACTGGGTTCCCCTTAATAGTCACTTTAAATAGGTCCAGACATAATCTTGGGGTGGGTGGCGGAATTTAGGTCCTTACAAAGATAAAACCCATGCTCCTCATATATGTAAACAATTATACCTATTGCAATCAAATACGGAGTAATAGTCTTCAAAACAGGTAAAGAATTCTACGTTTCTCTAACTTATTTAGTGCAACCCAAAGCTAAGTCACTTATTTTTTCAATGACTTGTTGCGTATAACACACTTTTTGTTCTACCTCCCTGACAGCTAAATCTCAAAATTTCAGCTATGCCAGAAAGTAGAAACTGTGCCGGCTTGCAAGTTATCTGTCATGAGCATTTATAATTTCTTCATTCTGCAATCTGTTTTTCTAAATAATCAAACCAACTCTGAAATGAGAATCCATCTGCACAATCAAACACTCAAAGTACTTTACTCAAATGTATAATTATTAACAATGACAACAACAATTACTCTACACAAAGTCACAAACTATGAACTTATATAGCTAACTAGCATCACAACCAATTCTGAGATTTCTTTTATATACTCAACAAATACTTAGAGGCAAGAAGGCTCAATATTTAGAAACTATGCTAGTTTGCTCCATGTGAAGAAACAGAGCCTAAGAAACAAAAGTAATAGCAATGAGAGCAAACATGCTCTAATGTAAATGAACAGAGCAGGAAAGGAACAAAGTAGTTTTTTTTGTAGGGATGTTTATGGCAGTAGAGAAAATGAATCATTTACCTCAATTTAAAAACTTTTTGACAAAGCAGGAAACAATTAAGCACTCCATATTAACTTTGAAATCAGGGAAATCATGTTCTAGATGCCATCCAGGTAACAAACATCGTCGCCATTCCTTTTTAAGGGTCCGGCCTTGGAAGAAATCGATGAATTAAAAAAAGCAAAGTCCATAGCCCTTGAAAAGTGAAAACATATTATATATAGAGAACGTGAATAATATAGATTTACAGCTATAAAAATTAACGATGAACAATTTACATCCAATTTAAAGCAATGAAACAATCCTTTAACAGAAAGCCCTAGTTTAAGGGCAACTTGGGATTCCTCTCCATGAGGAGTTTGACTTAAACAAATAAAAAACAGAATGAAGATCAATTTAGAAGATATATAAACAGATGAGTCTGTGGAGTATGGACCTTACTTGAAAACCGAGCACAATGTCACTGGCAACCCAAGATTTCAAGCTTCCAAGGTTCACTTGTGCGCAGCTTTAATTCGAAGATGAAGGCGCAGCTTTGAAAAGGTTTGGCTAACTAGGGCAATCGGTATAATGATAGAGAGTTTGTGACTTTGTAGCTGGTGAGCGAGTTTGAAGTCGAGGCGCAGATGCATATTCTTGAATTTTTAGATTAGTAAACCGATCGGGTTATACGGTTTTACGGTTTATAAACGGAACCGAACCAGACCATTCGGTTTGAAAATATTAGTACCAAACGGTTTAGCTAGGCTAACCAAAACCAAACCAAACCTCAATTTTTTGGTTCAGTTCGGTCAAACCGAACCACTTTGCCCACCCCTAAGTAGAGTGAGCTCAACTAGTTTCGAGAAAAAAAATGCAATTAAAAGTACACTAAGAATGCCAGTAAATTGAAACTACATTTTACTCGAGATAGAAAGGACATCATATAGTTCATCAATCTTAAAAAAAGAAAACACATCAAAATCAAAGACAATTTGAAGAGCATAACACCGTAATAATTATCATTACACAGAAAATCTGTTCGGAAAGTTAAATGATCTAAATAATACTCTTCTTGAGACCCACACCATGCTGATCATTTAACGGTACTGCAAAAACAATAAAAAGAGATGAGTAATATGCCAAATGAAGTGAAAAGTGGGTAGGTAACGAAGTAAGAAAAAGTCTGTTTGAACTTCGAAGTTGCAACTTGCAGCCTGTTGGCAACTCCCAAAAAAAGAATTAGCAAAGAAGTCAATTCATGGATTACCTTGATGAATCCAATCTTAGTGGCATTCTGGCTGAAACACTGTCTGCAGCACATGAGGCCATACTTTCTGATAAGTCCATGAGTATTCCCACAAACACGGCTGCATATACCCAAGAAAACCAATCAGTAAATCAGACACCAGGAACAAATTTAACAAAGCATGTCATGAGAATAGATTGGAGGACATCAAGGCTTGAACTGTGACATGATTTATAAGTTTGCCAAGGCTTGCGCATCTGCGGCAGAGTTGCAGATGCATTCCAAAAACACATTCAATGCTTAAAACTCTAGAAAGAGAGTATACTAAGCTTGCGCATACAGATTGCGAGACATAGAGGTGTATGACACTAAAACCTTAGTTTTTAAAGGCGTGAGGCGGCTTGAGGCGCTTTCATTGATTTACCCGAGGCACGAGGCGCGCCTCACGGAACTAAACAATATAAGTATATAACTTTGGTATATTATATTTATACTTCATGAAGGCATGAAACAAGCCATATTTATACCTCAAGCCATGAAACAAGCTTACGTAACATCAAAATCAGTCACAAAAAAAAATCAAACAGTAACAACAAATATGTTAAATGCCTATTCATAATGTAATTAAAAGGCAAAGTAGCAAACTCACAAGCAAAGTAGTGTACTCATCGACAATTAATAGCAATTTTAATAAAACCATTATATAATCAAGTGTTAATATTTACAAACTGTCATAATAAACTCTTAATAATAAGTTTAACAATTAACAAAATTTTTATTTAACAAATTGTTATATAAAAAGTTTTTTATAATAATAAACTCTCTCTGCCAAAAAAATAATATTTTCTAATATAACTGTTACATAATAAACTATAAACTAAAACCCAGTTTATAGTAATATTTTAATAATTTATAAGAAATAAACAGTCAATACTAATTTCTGAACATTTAATAGTAATTTTTTTAAAGTTATGATAAATTTTTAATAAACTATAATTATTAAAAGTAAAAACTTAAACAATCTAATTGTAGAAACCCTCTTTATTATTATTATTATTATTACTATTACTATTTAACATTGATAAACCATCTGATTTAGTT